TGCTCGACAACAAACTTGCAATTGCATCATAACTTCAGGTGGGTCAACAACAACAACAGACATACCGCAGCTGATGTATGTATTATGTGCGTGGGAGGATTGCCAAGGTCTATAATCTATTTGCGTAAATACAATTATAAAGGTAGAATTCTCTTTTCTGGAATGTTCTGAGCTGAGCTTTCTAATACATGCGCATAAGCAGCGCCAATAAACAAACAAAGATCGATTTTCATCTAATCTATCTAACTACAGTTATAATTAATAATAAATAATAATAATTATTATTTCGAGTCTCCTCGGGAAGGTATTATTATTCTTTTCTGTAGCTCATACCAGACAGGGGTCTCCACTCATCTCTGTCCGCCAACAGCGCTATATACAGCTATAGCGAATGGCACTGGATGGCACTGAGGGTGGTCACAGCCAGAGTTTGTTTTTGCGCCCTCAGTGGTTCTTTTACGTCCCCATTGGCCTTTCGTATTACTGGAGATGGGACCGCTATTTTACGTGGTCATCCGAGCCACGGGAGATTCACAGTCTCCAATGTTTTTACACCTTGAGAAAATTCACTGCTCCTTCAATGGACAGTATACGTGGCCTCACCGCTAGGCCACGAATGCATCTACAGTTACCGAACACTGAATAAGTGTAAAACTGTTTTGGTAGATGACGTAATATCTAAACCTATCTGACGCTGTATGTCATAAATAAACGGCGGCTCTGATTAAGCAGTGAACCGCTTTAAATTACGCACTTGTTACTTATTGACTGTACATGACACGCATTGTTCAGAATTAGCCGATAAGCCGAAAATTGTTTTACAACGTTCAGCTAAGAAAGAAGGATTTTTTCGGCAGATAATATCCCGTTTCACCAACGTCCGATTCAAATAAACGCCCGTGTGTGGGGACTTACCCGACGCCTACGAATCGGGCGCCACTGTGTATGACGTCACGTAGTAACATGTTGTCTGCGTCGTCGTGCCACACAGGTGGGTGCTGTGTGCCAACCACATGGAGCCGGTGAAGGGCTTCCTGAGTCGCTATCTGCGGCGATGACTCGTGGAGCATGAGATCAGCACAGGCCAGCGCAGCAACGAACTCGGCCGCTTCACAGACTGGGAGCCCAAGGTGTTGAACCATCTCAACAAGCTCCTGGAAAACCACAGTTCGTCAGACGTCACTATCACGTATGGACGTATGGACGTTACGTACATTGCATGACGTTACGTACATTTATTTGCAAAAGTATCACGTTATGCTTTGCAAAGCAT